AGCTACAATTGGTAAAGATCCTATTGCTTCACATAGTATTGAATTGGTAAGAAAAAAAAGCTTTTCAATTGATTAATTATTTAATGAATTTAAATCAATGAATTTTTATTAATAAAAAATATTATTATTTAATTAGATGAGACTTGGAAAATTCCCAACTGCTACTGAAATTAAAAATGGAAAGGTAAAATAACAATTTTTAAATAGTTTGCATAATAATAACAATGATTCTATTATTTTGAATTTAAAATATTAATTATTTATTCCCTTTCTTTAGAGTCCACTTGATGTACCATTAATAGGTAAATTAATTAATTAATTAATTTCTTTATTTGTTATATATTAATATGATTATTTCTTTATCTCTCACCATAAATATATTAATAGCTTAACAATTGTAAATTATTGTAAATTACTATAAATTTTATTATTTATTTCTGAATAAATTAACATAAAATTGTTTGTCAAACTTTCCGAATTATTTCTTATGTTGGGTTCAAAATAGTGTTGGTTTCCAAAATTAGAGAATTTTGCAACTGTGCAAAAGTCAAAAGGTTTCGCCATAAGTCGAAACTAGTTTTGATTTTTGACTATTAACTTTTGATTTAGTTTTGACATATATAACTTTTAATTTTAGTTTTGACTTTCGCCTCTTCAAAATAGTTTTGGCAACCAACACTAGTTCAAAATCAAATTTGGCTGCTAAATTGACACAGATTTCAAATTCACACACAACCTGAGGAAACATCGATCTTCAATGCAAAATAAACACGATTATATGATATAAAAATATCATAATATTGTTAAAAGCGTTATATGATTAAAAATAAAATAATAAAAAATATGATAGTATCCTTACGGGCAAGGCAATATATATCCGAGAAAAAATAAATAATAATAAGGGAGATAAAAAAATTATTTACGTGACAAGAAAAAAAATATATATATACATATAAAAAAAAGAAAAAGGGGACAAAAAAAATATATACGTGACAAGTAAAAGAAAAGTTTAATTTTAATACGCGATGAAATACTTCTCTATACTAATATAACATGACAAAAATATCGAGTA